AATAAACTCTGTGATATCTGGCCAAATGAAAGAACTGTGTCAGAAGATGCAGACAACATTGTGTTGTGGCCTGGTGACACAGTTTACTAGCGAGTGTTTTTTCTATGCTCACCACTCTCATCCTTTAGCAAGGTAGCAGTAAAATGGAGCAGATCAAGACAATGCAAGAGCAACAGATGGGGGTGGTGTAGAAGGAGGGTCTTGGGGGAGTCATGCCAACCCAGTGGTGGGGCATCTTGTTTAGGAAAAGCAATGCCTGGCAATGATCTGAGATCCATATGATGGATTAGAAGAGGAAAGGGGCATCAAGGGGGTAGCAGGAGGATGCTGGGGTTCAAGGAGCATGCATGAGATGTTCTAGCCCAAGAAGGGAACAATTTTCTCAATGGAGACTGGGCCAGAGGCTGCAGTGTAGTTGCACTGACTCATAGTCCTCCATCTCAATTTTTTATTTCTAAAACAAAAGCTGAAATGATCCGTTCATAAGACCAGAATATTTTAAAATTTAGGATAAGAATCACAGACTCCCAGAACAGAGTTGGCAGGGACCTTAGGGTTTATCTAGTTGTCTACTAACTCCCTGTGTTCAACTTTTCTGTACATCACCCCTGACAAGGCTGCCATGGCCCCTCCTTGGACATCACTCCCTTAAATGGCAGCACATTTTGATTGTTAGATCAAATTATCAGATTGGTAGGCTCTCTGGAAGACACCAAAATGGATGGTCTCAACGTCCCCGCATCACTACTATTCAGAGGTCTGCATCCTAGATTAAAACAAACAATGCCACTGTCTATGAATGGGCATGGTCTATGCCTATAGTTTTCAGTTTGTCCCCCAAGAAGGGAGGAAAAACAGAAATACTTTATTGTTAAACTGTGTTTATTTCTTTGGGGACGATTTTCAAGTTTTAAATGATTCTGAAAGGGGAGTATGCCAAAAGAAATAATGCATTTTCCCTATGAAACCAGAGTTGAGATGGGGAGTCATGCACATACAAGCACCTATTCATTATTTTATTCAGTCAACACATGTTAAGCACATATTATGTACAAGATTTTATGCTCAGAAACAAAGGGGTCCAGCGCTCAATGGGCTAGTCTAAAATTCAAAAGAAGTAATTTCTAGGGCCCCAGAACCTCTAAGATATGGCCAAATAGCTTCAAGAGGTTTAAAGAACTGTTTGTTCTCTTGCAGCACAAGGGCTTTGGAGCTCAGATCCACAGAGCTGTGCACAGAGAGAGCTGGCTTTCCCAGGAGTGGACGTTGGAGGTGCAGTGTCCTGAACCCGCACTTTCAATGTCCCTGTACACCTGACCTCATTTGTGTTCTCTTGGGCAGAACACGGAAAGGATTTGTCTGAAGAGAACAGGAACTAACAATACGAGGAAATGGAGAATTTCAATTACCTTCTGTTGCCATGCTTCAGGGACCTTTTTCATTTAAAGCCACACGGCATGGAACAAAAAACCCCGAATACAACTTCCTTCAAAGAGATAAAGAGCTTGCTGTGATTCTTTAATTCAAACACACTGGAGCCACTAGCTGGCAGGCGGCGTAGCCCAACCGAAAAAGGAAGAGGCTCTAGGAGGAGACATCGCTGCCAAGCCACAGGCGGGGACCACAGCTCCCAGGAGTGGAGGGAGACCCCCACTCACCGGAGGAAGCCACCGGGAGGCTGTCCGTTGCATTAATTTTGTCCTTTAAAATTCTTAACCCATGAATTTCTGCCTCTTCTCTCCAATATCCATTAACAGGAGAGCACGCAGAGCGACATTTATACATTAAGAGCAATCATTAAAAACAAGAAGATATTAAATAAAATGAGCTGAGGGCTTCATGGAAGGGGCAGAACGTTTGGGGTCTCATCTCCATCTGTCATAATTTTATCATGAACACAAAATAAGAGATAAACGGGGCATAAACTATTGTGCACGTCATTAGGGGGTGAAGATGCTCAGGTAGGGTAACGGGATCCCGATGGAGGGTAGAGTCATGGCCCAGCCCTGCTGCCCCTCAATCAGAGGCCTTAAATGCAGCAGACTGTTCACTACAGATGGGCGAAGAGAACGTTTTAGAGGTGAGAAGCATTTTGATTAGTTGCAGCTCAATGAGTGCAAGAATGCCTCTCCCTGTAGGTAGGACAAGTGTTTAGCCAATAATGCCCAATACACAATGGGCCCAACTTTCAGAAAATTCAAAATAAAGGTGAGATCAGCCAGAACCTATGAAACAACAAAATACGACCCCTGTTCACATCACAAAAGAGTTAACATTACAAAAACACTATCATTTTTTAAAAGGATGTACCTGTTGTGGGATTTCGTTTGAAAAAAAATCTTCCTAGTGCATTTAAAGTAGGTGAAATTATCAAAATTTTAGAAATATATATTTTCAGCAATGTATTTATTGCATACTGAATTATACTGACAACAGAACAAAAGCATAATCTTTATAAGCAATCAGTGCCATTATCATTAATTTTATTTTAAGGTTAGTTTTATGTGCTATGTAATTATCTCATAACAGGCATATTAAATATTAGATGGAAAACACAATTTAAACTGGAGATGGAAAATGCCAATCAGTTGTTTAAAAAATATAATGGACACATTAAACTCAAGCTTAAAAGCAATAATAACAACATTTCTACTCCAATTGTTTTCTTCTTTGTTCCTAAATATTTAATACTCTGACTGTTTAACTATTTAAGTGCAAATATTTCCATTGTATTGTTAAACTGGAAATTGCTGAGATCTTCAGAAATATCATTGATGGAGGAAAAAAAGAATATGCATGAACCCTACACTAATTAAAGCTATGGGTATATATTTTTCATGGAATGTTTGAGCCCCAGGTTAATAATCTCTGCTTCAGATGGGGATGGGTAACATGGGTTCCGAGAAAAAATGGAATATGTGGAAATTGAAAGGCACATCAACCCCAAAATAGCATCTGTTCCTCCTGTCCCCCCTCCCCCCCCAGACAACCAGAGTGCCAAGTCAAGGATGCCTATGGCATTGGCTCTCCAGGGTCTAAGCTTTGCACAGGAATTACCTAGAGCAGCAGTCATCACAGAGGCCTGTGGAAGGCTTAGTGTCCAGCAGAGGGGCCTGTGGGTCTGTCATGGGCAGGGAGGCTCAAACTGAGTAATTGGACCCCCGGTCTCCTGCCTTCAATTCAACTCAGGCAGCTTCGTCTGTTTACATATTGGGCTTCTGATCACAATTTTATTTGAAGGAAAGTTTTTGCTGCTAAAAAACATGTATTAGAGAATTTTAAAGTGCTGAAGAGTTTATCTCTGGGTGGTTTTTATTATTATTATTATTATTTGGATCATCAGTGGCTGTTTTCCTATTTTTGCTTTCTGTATCTTCTAAATTTTCAACAATGAAAAAGTATTACTTTTGTAATTAACACACACACACACAAAGTTATATTAAAATAAAAGAATAAGTTTTGCTTACTTCTCCAAAAAGAAGTGCTGAAAACAGGCTTTCCACTGGGATTATAGCATTTTGAATGTGAGCTGCGGTTTTCAAACACAAAGCACAGCTGTTTGGTCTCTTACTCTGAAGCTGTGGAAAAGGGGAAAGATTTTGAAAGCGGGAACAGGAAAAGATGACTGAGAAAAGTGGCTGATATATCTAGGCTAAAGTCTCCCTGGCAACACTGTTCTCAGAGGCTTTGCCTTCCTACGTGGACTTAGAAGGCTTCATGAGTGATGACTGCAGAGGATTCATGGGACCGAAATCAGCAGAGAGCAGGAGAGATTGAAGACAAAGCAGAGTCAAAGCAGGCAGAGAGATGTGACAGACAGACGTTTACCACAAACAATGCTGTCTAGCAGTCAGTACAGCCATGTGGTCCACAGAGATCTGTAAGGAGATAGGAACAGAGAGGTCACCGAGTCTCTGCCATGCAGTTAGATGAGGCTCCTGAGTTATGAGAGGGCCGAAGACCTCAGGAACCGTGGCTGAAGAAAAGTGCAGCTTCAAGGAACAGTTACAGAGAGCAGAAGGTTGATCTAGACAGCAGCTAGCCATACAGGAAAACTGTTGCATTATTTAAAAAATAGGGAGTGGAAATCTGGGATAAGGAATGATTTAGAGATGAGAAACTCGAAAGCCACCACCATCACAAAAAACGAAGCCCAGTGCAATTTTAGAACAGTCATAGTTTTCCAGACCAGCTCACAGACATTCCCAATCCAATGGGGTAAAGCAATTCATGAATGCAGGAATGCAATGAAACAGAGATGTGTTCAAGATTTAGAAAACAAGAAACTTGCATCAGAAAAGGCATATAACACACATAATGGCAACTGGACTGACTCCAGTACAGAGAGAGCCTCAGTAGGCTTCACAATCAGCACACATCTAAAGCAATGGTTCTCAAAGTGTGGCCCCCAGTCCAGGAGCACCAACCAACCAGGCAATTTTGATGTACACTGAAGTGTACATGACACCATGTTTAATTACATTTCACTGTATCTTTCCCTCATCTTTTTAAAAAAAATTTGCATTCTTCTTCTGACATTATAATTATAATTATACCATAAGATAGATGGCAAATATTTGGCAGGTATCACACCATTTCTTACCCTGACCCCTATGCCACCCCAAACAATGACATCCGTGTTCATGATCACTTTTGTCCACAGCATTCTTTCCCACTGAGCCCAGATGTCGCCTCAACATCTATCTGAAAAAAACCCAAAACAACAAAACAGCACACACAATCAATTCTAGTTGACATACAAGATAAAAAAAACTATATACAATTTCTGTACTATATACTTGTATCATTATGATTTCCCCATGTTGTTAAAAGCCTATAAAACATCACTCTTAAGGCAGAATGCTTTTCCATTTCCTAAAGATAATCATTTAGGTGGTTCACAATATTTTATTATTATAAATAGTACAGAGCTATATTAAAATAATATGTAATGCTGTAACAAATAACAAATTTTATCTTTAGTTCTATTTTTTTCCCTTAGTATAGGTTCCAATAAGGAGCACAAATGTCAGACCTTTTATATCACAACTTCTCCAATATTCAGTTTTTCATTTTCATTTATTTTTCAGGCAGCTGCATCGGGTGGGGAGGGGGCACAGGAAGGGAGGTTGGATTGATGCAACAGGGAGAAGGGGGATGCTTCTTCCTTAGTCCTAATGTCACCAGTGGAACACTCCTGGCCCCTTTTCCCATCCCCTTGCTCACTTTTCCCTAGGTGGGCATCAGAGTGGAACAGTGACTTACCTGACCAGCAAGTTTGGGCTAAAACCTGGATCTGTTTGGAATGGCCTCATCCTTTCTGAACCAAGCCTGCCTTCAGGAAGCACCTGTTCTGAAGCTCAGCCTCTCTATGCTGGACGTTTCTCAGAACACATACCCACAAGGAAAAGACATTTGTGGGTACAGCAATCTCATCCTAGAGTTTAGTTAAGAAATCCAGTAGTCCACAGATATAAGGCACATTCTCCAATATGAGCGTTATCAAAAACATGACAGGAATATTTTGGCCCATCTGCCCAACTTCTATTTCTAAATTAGTTCAGAACTTAGGCGGAGAAGATGGGTGTTATTTACAGAACCCCAAGCCCTCAGTAAGTTGGAATAGTTATAGTAATTTTCATGATGTTTTCCAAAATCTAACATATTTCAAGCTATCTTTGCATTTTTATACAAAGTTCTGTTGTATGTAAGCTTACTTGTTTTCAACCATTTAGCTTCACAACTTTGGCAATTTTTTGCTACATTTTCATCTGGCATTTTGTTTTACAAAAGGAAGGTCTGGAGCCAGCCTGGGTGCTGTTTCTTCATAGGTAATTTTTACCCTACATGAATATTTTTTAAATCATTATTAATTTTTTAAAATTTCAGGTTTTGCCTAAAGATTATTCTCTTTTCATTGATTTCATCTGGAATGTGGTAAACTAGTTCTGCTTACATATCATATTTGTTTGTTCTTTTTAAACTCAGGAAATTTTTCTTTGATCATGGTTTGTATTCCAATTGTCCTTGTTTGCTTTTTTTTGAATCACCAGAAGCATCTGTTATTGCTAGATTAAATCTCCAGTTCCTGTCTTCCATGTCAATCATCTTCTCTCTCATTTCCATCTCTTTGTCCTCCCTACATTTTTGAGAATCTTCCCTAATTTATCTTCCATGTCTCTGATTCAGTTTTGACCATGTTAACTCTTCTTACTGTTTCTATTTTGAGCCTGGCACATATGTGAACATTAAATGTTTCCCGAATAAATAACAAATGAATGATCACTATGGTATTTTAGTTGTTCCGTTGGTTCTGTTTTCTCCTTTCATGTACCTCTTTTCACTTAACGCCGCTGTTTTTTCATGTCAGCTATACGTCCTTTCTAGTATTTTGTACCCATTTTATAGTGTCATGTCTTCCTGCATCCTAGGAGTGCACCAAACAATTTTATCCTGGTTTTTATGATAAACTATTTTTCAGAGGTCTGTCCTTTCTCTGGGTTTTAGAATGTTGCTTTCTTCCCTTTACTTGGAAATACTTGTCTCCCTCCCCGACACCCACATTTCACTCTATCTCCTCATCCTAGAATGAGGTGAGCTCCATTCAGATCTCATGTTGGCTCATATCCACATAGAATGCATGCTTTCACCTGGCCCAACTCCAAGAGGCATGGATTGAGTCACCTTCTCAGATCTATGCCTGATGTCCATGTATGATGAGTTGATGCACACAATTTTTAGCTAGTTCCCAATTTCTAGCAGGAGTTCATCTAATAGAAATATGTTGGAATAAAATAGAGTCTTGCTCTGCCCCACTGTGTGACTCTCAGATGCTCTGAACAGCTGGAATTCATAAAGCACAACGGTCCCCATGTGCCGACAATGCTTCCTGGCGGCTCCCACCGCAGCGCCATACTTGTGGGAATCAAACCTCCCAGGATGAAATTCCGTCTTCCTTTACTTCCTGCCCAGTTGTTTCCTGAAAATGTTTTATTCTGCAGAGTACAAGGGGGAAAAAAAAAAAGGTACAGATGGGAAACAGAGACAACACTGGCTGCTTTAAGAGAAAGCGCCAACATGGGGGAGGGAAGAGACGACCCATTTTTTCCTTTGGTACAGATCTTCCATGACAGACAAAAAGGGGGTCATTCCATCTTTGTTCTGGTTGGTACAGCACAGAACAGATCATCAATTGTGTTTTCCAAATCTCTTAGGTTCTATAGTAAGAACACTTTTCTAGATTCTGGCAGTGGGTTAAACAATTGGCAACCAACAGTTAGTTGGTGACTTTTTCAAAGTGTACGCTTCCAAATCAGAAAGGCTTCCGTTTGCATCCTGGTTCCTCCACTCACCAGCTTTTAGACCTTGGGAAAGTTATTTTACATACTATCGTAAGTTTTTGGTGCTGTTGTAAGTTTTCATCTTTAACTAATTCCATAGGTATTTTCAACTAGTTTTTTGTTTTTCTTATACAATCAATGAATATTCATTTTATGATTTTTGGAAAATATTGTCAAGTAAAAAGAAAACAAATTAAATCACCTAGAATCCTACCATTTTGAGGAACCACTTGGACATTTTGTATGTTTTTTCAGTTTCTTCCCATGAGCGTTTGTGTGTGTGTGTGTGTGTGTGTGTGTGTGTGTGTGTGTGTGTGTGTGTGTGTGTTTGTAGGGGGAGGTATGGATGTGTCTAAACAACAGCAACCATATTATTTTCTAACCTATTTTTCCACTGTTTTCCACATTTTTAATGTTACTAACTATTCTTCTAATGGCTGTATAATATGTCATTGTATAGATGTGTCATAGTTTATTTTACTTAACTTATCATTGAACATTTAGGATTCAAAAAATTATTTTATTACTAGCAATACAGAGATGGATACTCTTATCAATAAACTTTTCCTCTTCATCTATGTTAATTTTCTTAAATAAATTCCTAAAAGTGGAAGTGTTGACTCAAATGATGCATAGGTTTTGTAGGTGCTTCTTACATATGGTCAAATTGCCCTACACAAAATTCATAGCAACTGTCAATTTGTATCACCTTCAAAACACAAAAATAACTCTATTTTTAGTGTAATTATTAGTAAGAATTGACATTTTAATAGGATTATTGGTAATTTAGGTTTCTTTACTCCTTTTCTGTAAATTGTCTATTTGTGTCATTTTTCTGTTTTTAATGAGATACTTTTTAATTGACTTTTAAGAGAGCTCTTTATTTAATAAGCATTTTAATCCCTTATCAGTAATGAATATTTCTTTATTAAATATTTGATATAATTCACAGGTGATGTTATATTGTCCTGTAGTTTTGTGTGTGTGTTTGTGTGTGTGTGTATGGGGGAAGGTTTTTAATTATAGATTGAATTTCTTCAACAGATACAGGTTTTTTTTGAGCTTTTCTAATTCTTTTTGAAGAAATTTTGATAAACTATTTTTTTCCTAGCAATTTGTGCAGCTCATCTAAAATTCCAAATTATTTGCTAGAAAGAAATTGATAATATTTTTATATTTCTAGCCTATACTGATGTCTTTTTTTTTCATTCCTATTGTTAGTAATTTGTGATCTCTCTTTTTTCTCCTTTTAATTAGTCTTGCCAGGGGAACTATCCATTTTATTAGTCACTTTGTTTTTATTATTAGTTTTTGTATAAATGGTATATTAATTTACAAAAGCTTTATATTGCTATATAAATCTATCCTTTTCTTTCCTTGTGGTTACTTTCTTTTCATGTTTTCCCTCAAAATCAGATATTTATCTTTTTTTAATTTTAGTTGTTTTTTGTTTCTTTTGTAGATGTTATTACATTAAAATTTTAAAATAGAAAACATGCACATATTTAAAGAAACTATTCCAAAGAGTTCATAAAGGTATAATATGAAAAGTAAAGTTCTCTCTCTGTTCACCCCACTCCCGGTTTCACTTTGCAAAACTCCTGTAATGAGTTTCGTATATACTTCCTGAATGTACTTAGGCGCAGACCAGCATATGAACGTGTGTGTGTGTGTGTGTGTGTGTGTGTGTGTGTGTGTACTACATGTAATATATATTGTTTTAACACATTGTAGGATAGACAGTTCTAAACACCATACATGTATTCACAGGTTGTTATGTTAGACATACGCTTGCAAGAATAATGATTTTTGTTCTTCTAAATTAGTGGTTCTCGAACTGTAACATGTATCAGAATCACTTGCAAGGTTTATTAAAACACAGATTGCTGGGCGCCACCCCCAGAGTCTCTAGGGAGGGGCCAGATAATTTGCATTTTTTAACAAGTTCCTTAGTGGTGCTGATCCTGCTAGTCTGAGACCACCGGTGAAGGACCATTGCTCTAAAGGGCTATTTGAAAGTCCAAGAGTAAAGACCCCCATTCAAGTGTATTTAATGAAGAAGAGAAGAACCTGGGATGAGAGCAGTCACTGATGTAGCCTACTCAGGAATTCCTTCTACTGTGAAGGCCACCCAGCCCCCTTTCCACACAGACTCTGCTTGCAAAATTGACATCCAAGCAAGGAGTATCTTTCATATATTTTCTAATAATACAACCCTGTTGTATTATTAACTGCTAATATGTGACCAGAGAGACATAAATTTAAGCCATTTTTATATGTGACCACATGTGCCTGGCTCACAAGACACATGGTTTTTGATGGTTGCAGCTGGGAGGTCTATAGGACAACTGTGTACAAAGTGCAGCCCTCAGAGCTGCAACAGCATCACTGGAGATTCTCATTTGAAATGCAGAGTCCCACTCCGGCCTTGAGAATCTGGACATGGGACCCAGGGGATCTGCATTTTTAAAAAGAACCCAAGGCAATTTTTACACACCCTCACATTTTTTTTTTTAAATTAAGATTTCATTGGGGAATTGGGGGAGGGGAACAGCACTGGGGAATCAGGGAAGGGGAACAGACAAGTTGCTGTCCTTTTATTCTTCAGTCTAGTTGTAGAGGACGTCGCTTCACTGGCCCATGTTGGTATTATCATTGCGCTCTTCCCGGGTGAGTCAGATCGGTCACCAGCCACTGGACAGTTGCTCACGGGGGCTCTTGGCAGCTCACGCTGGCTGCCAGCCACTCACAGTAGCTTATGGGAGCCCACTGCAGCCCCCCTGCAGCTTACGCTGTCGTTGGCCACTGACGGCAGCGCAGCTCCAGGTCGAGCTGTTGTTCACCATCTTAGCTGTAAAGGGCGCAGCGTCACTTGCCCTCATGTGGGATCTGAACCTGGGGCCCTGCTGCTCAAAGCCTGCACTCTTAAGCCAACACCTAACCAACACGCCACACAGCCAGCCCTTTGCACCCTCACATTTTATAACTCTGGTCTGAGGAACAGAGCAGACACCAGGGCAAAGGTTAAGGAAGCCTCTGGAAGTGGGGAGTGGCACAGCAAAAAAAAAAAAATCCTGAAACAAAGGGTTGCCTACAACCTCCAATTGCCAATTATTAGGCACCTCCTAATTACCCAGCGCTCTTTTAGGAACTTCATGTAGGTTACCTCCTTTTAGCCTCACAAACTATGACATGAGGCCGGAGAGTTGCAGGAAGAACTGGGAGTGGGGTGAACAGAGAGAGAACTTTACTTTTCATATTCTACCTTTCTGAACTCTTTGGCATACTTTCTTTAAATATGTGCATCTTTTTTATTTTAAAGTTTTAATGTAATAACAACTACTGAAATCCGATCCCACATGCCTAGGTTCTTTCTCTAGTGCATGCTGCCTCCGTCAGCATTTCACCTGAGTGAAGCGGGCGGTGGGTGAGTGTGCTCCCACACAGGGACTGTCCTTTGAGTGGGGAGGTGGTGATAGTGGCAGAATTGTTGGTGCTCCTTATGCGGATGTGCCAAATGATAAAGAGGATAAAAATAGCTGAGTCACTGGTGAATCTGGTGGTGTGGAGAACCAACCTGAATGAGTAGAGCTCAAGTAGAGTTTTCATTCTGAATTGCTCCATTCGGCCCCTGACAAGGCCTCATTTCTCAGACAACTATTCAGTCAACCCTCCTGTGAGTCACCATCACAAAAAAACCCGAGTGTGATTATGCCATGAGGCACTAAGAACAGCAACGCATGTGGAGTCTGGGAAGGCCCCACACTAACACTGCCAAGGTCTCCTTCCTTCTGATTTTTAAATCCATGTGTGCTTCTTGGAAAATTTAATCCACATGTTCTGGGATCATTTACACTTACCCCATCAACATGCAATAGTTTTATAAGAGCTATTTGATGAAGCTTGATGTTCTTTCTCTTTCTTTCTTTTTTAAACATAGGGTTCTAAAGGCACATTCTTTCCCACCGTTATCCCCGGTTTCTGAAGCTGGAAGTTATATTTTGCCAATAAAAACTAAGCCTAGAACCTGAAAACAGGGAACCTCAGGCCTAAGCTCGCCTATGAAAAGTGACAAGGTTAAAGTCTGGACACACATGTGCTCTCATTTCCCAGAAAAGTTCCCTTGCAGCGGTGGGAAGAAAGCCCACCAAGCCCTCCACAGACAGCCCTCCCCCTGGCAGGGGCACACAAGATGCATTCCAAACCCTTGTTTTTAATTCAAAGACAGCTCTGCCCATGTTTCTCAGGGTAGCATGCTGGAAGCCCAACTTACTGATTCATTCCAGCAAAATCCACAGGATACCAAACCATGATGAATAGACTGCAAGCTGTTTCCGTCTCATTCTCATGGAAGCATTTCTCTGGAAAGAGCATCCCTGCCTCTGCCAAGTGCTCATCACCCAGAGCCTCTTCAAGGACACCTGAAATATTAATAAAAGGACAATGGTGAACATTATCCATAGCACAGGTCCAAGTAGGGAAAGAGTGATTATATCTGAATCCATCATTCATTATTTATTGCATATGCTCTATTTCTCTTTTGCGTTGCTAGGCTGGTTGTTGCCATGTAGCTTTCCATTGTGGGGCTGCCATGAAATTACTAGCATCTAATGGGCTGTTTTTAGCAGTCCTTCAAAAGCAAACCCAAATCTGGGGTGAACCACTCCCTAGCAGGAGATTTCATTTTAAGTTAAAAGGAATAAATTGATAAAAAAAAGTATGGTGATGCCTCAAGAAATTAAAAATAGAATTACCATAGGATCCAGAAATATTTGTATATACCTACAAATATTCCATTTGTAGGTATATATCCAAAAGAATTGAAAACAGAGACTCGAAGAGATATTTTACACCAATGTTCACAGCAGCATTATCCACAAAGCCAAATGGTGGCAGCAGCCCCACGTGTCCACTGACAGATAAATGGATTTAAAAAATGTGGCAACCCGCCCCCCGCCCCCATGGAATATTCTTTAGCCTAAAACAGAGGGAAATTCTGACACATGCTACAACATGGATGAGCCTTGAGGACATGATGCTAAGTGAAATTAAGCCAACCACAAAAAGGACTAATGCTGTCTGATTTCACTTAGATGAGGTACCAAAAATAGAAAACTTTGTAAAGACAGAAAGTATTAATAGAATGGTGGTTGTCAGGGGCTGGGGGAAGAAGAATGAGGAGTTACTGTTGAATGGGTACAGAGTTTCAGTTTTGTAAGATGAAAAGAGTTCCAGAGATTGATAGGGGTGATGGTTGCATAACAACGTAAATATACTTAACGCCACTGAGCCCAAGCAAGTGAAGAGCGCTAGATTTGAGGTTATTTTTGTAACTCATCAGCCTTGGGAAGATGCTGTTTTGACCTCTACCTTGGAAATCAGTTTTGATTGGGTAAAAATGCTCACGTGTTCCATGGTTTTTACTGTATCTTCATTGCTATCATCATCATTTCTTAGCCTTAATATCAATGCAGAACTGGTCAGGCCTTAATGGAGACACTCACTTTGAGAAGTAATCTGTTAAATAGTTTAATCCCCGCCTCCTCTCTCCACTCCCCCTCAGAGCCTGAGGGATCAGAAAGCCTTCCAGAATAGGGTGCCAGAGTAAAGCCAGATTTTAAAATTTTACTCATTAAAACCAAAGAAACATGATATTAAAATAAGTAAAATCAATTAAGAAATATAAGAACACAAACTCATGCTATATTCTTTAGAAAGTGGTGACCAGAAAAAGAGAGAAACATTCAGAAGCTGACTTAATAATACTCCTGCCTTATCCCTCCAACATAACCCTCTAAAACAGTAGTGCAGGAAAAAGGAGTGGAAAAATTTCCCCGAATGAACAAGTTGAGGCTGGGTTGTACTTTTACATGTGCTATCCTTTAAAATACAGTTATACTCTAGCGTTTTGGCAAAGAATGATAATCAACCCCTTGATTCCCTCTGACTTGGACTTTTGACCATCATCCATCACATTTTCAATGGGGCAAGAATTTAGATAGCCCTTGTGGAAATACAGAGATGTCACGTAGATATAGAGCATTAGGTCCCACCAGACCAAAGCAATTGTTCACAGTATCAGAAATTTGCAGTGGCATGGGGAACAAATGTAGCAATGGTTTTTGAAAAAGATAGAGGTGGAAGGTGCCGAAAAGTTAGCAAAAAAAAGTGTGAGAATATGTCAGGGGCTCTAGAGACGGACCTGTTGAAGAGGAAGGAAGCAGCTCAAAGAAAATGTGGGAGAAAGTTTTTATCACAGATTAAATCCTGGGGGACACACACGTGAATTGTTATACTCACCTTGTGGTTACATGTCTGGAAAGTCGAAGTACAAATCGGAGGCCTTGTAAGCTGATCAGGGGAAAGCTTTTAGTGGAAACATAAGAATTTGGATCTTGGCCATGGGAGAGGTTCAGGGATGACGGATAAGAGGATCCCTGAGCCATTTTCTATCATACTTGTACTAACCAGAATAACACATAAGCTCTCCCACAGTGAGTTCCATCTTGAATACCATATCCAGAAACCACAATCTCCATTGGATTCTTAGCCACTGACTGACCAAACAGGAAGCTTGTCCTAATGTCTACAGATTTCAAACTGTTTGTGGAAGGTAGAAGTCTTGCCAGCACACAGTGAGTCAGCTGCCATCAACCAGAGGCGTGAGTTAGGGCAGCCTCTTTGGACAATATGTTATTTTGGAAGTGAGGATTTCTTCAACAACATTTGAGTCTGGGAACATGGTGTGCTTTATATAAAGCAGAAGATAAATAAAACGTTTCAAGGAATTCCTCTCCCACATGACCAATTCAAAAACCCAGGCTGACAAACCCAAGTACTAAATAGATTCAATGAGCATGCATTTACTCCAACTTTAAAAATACAATACACATGAAACCAGTTTAGAAGTTTTTCTTCTAAAAATGGAGGTCACTGAAATAGAAACTGGCCACAATAATTTGGTTTTTAGCAAGTATGTGTACTGCCTTTGATATATGCCCTAGATATACAGGAAAGTTATTAAGACACTAAATCCTAAGAGTTCTTGTCACAAAGAGAAAATTCTTGTTCTTTTCTTTTTATTGTATGTATATGAGATGATGGATGTTAACTAAACCTATTGTAGTAATCGCTTCACAATATATGTAAATCAAACCATCAGGCTGTACAGCTTAAATTTAAAGTGATGTATATCAATTATTTCTCAATAAAGCTGGAAAACACAAAAAGTGAACCCATAAAGTTTTTTGTGAACTACTGGCCTAACGCCCTAGTTGAGGTCGCAGGGGTCTGATCCTAATGAGCATAGTAAAGACATGGAGAACAGGATTAACAATAGACCACGACCTGGGTTGCAAACAGACCACTAGGTGGTGCACATGCAGAGAAGCTGGCAGGTTTGACGACAAGGAATTAGCAGGAGGGAATTTTTCCTAGTGTGAAACTGTTCTGTATCCTGATTGTGGTGGTGGTAACATGAATCTATGCGGGTATTAAAATTCATAACACCATACACCAAAAAAACCAACAACCCTATTTGTTATGATAATTTAAAAAATAGAATTAACAACAAGATAACAGTGAGGTAAGTATCTTTCTCACATTTTTCAGATGCAAGCACAAGCATTGACTCCACCTAACTTAGGCAGAAAAGGTTTTTTTGTTTGTTTGGTTGGGTTTTTTGAAGACTATTGATTGGCTCAAGAATTGACAAATATGGCGAAGAATTAGGACTGGGACGGTGATGCTAAGAAACCTTGGGCCAGCAGTGGGTGCTTCGTTCTATCACAGCCACTCCGCTCTAGCTGCCCCTTTGGCTTCCATACAGATTCCCAGAAGTTGTCCTAGGGACAACTGTAAACAGGAAGGGTGCCCAGAAGTCAGGTAGGAAAAAATAAATAAATAAAACTATTAGCCTCTCCTACAGGAGAGAAAACTGAGGTGTGCAGACTTTCTATAATTTCCCTGAATTCACACAATTTTACCAGGGCCCAAAACTTGCGCTCCTCACCACTGTACAGTGATGGCTGAAAATGTGTCCAGCCTCGGGAGAACTTTGTCAAAACCACGTTGGCTGTCTAAAAACAAAGAAGAGAAGTAATTTGAAGCAGAAACCCCAGCTTCCTCCTGGCTCTGCAACGCAAGGGAATGTTAACCCAGCTGTTCGTTTTTCTTTTTAACAGTTTATTTTGTCTTTGAAATATAAACGCTGAATTTTTTTAGTACATGCACTGCCTCTGATATATTCCCTACATAGCATCCAAACGTTTTTGATCACATACCCATCAGCAAATATTTTTGAGCATTACCCCTAAAATATGTTTATTTATAAGTTTTTTATATATATATATATATACAACAATATTTATATATTGTGTGCTTTCTAAGTAACATCTAAAAAAGGATGAAATAATACTTAAAAATAACATTTATTCAAACAGTACAAAATTATTTTTTATTTTATTAAGAAATTATTAATATGGGCAATATTACTGAATATGCTTCAAATATCTGATTCTAAATTCAGCTTTTAATGGAAACTCTATTTAGAAAAAAATTCACTTACATATCATTTAGATATGTAAATCTAAATGAAAGAAGTGCATCATTGGCTATGATTATTAATCTATGGTACTTACTATTTAAACCTCCCCTAACAACTATACAAAAGGTTTTTTGTGTGTGTGGTGGGAGTGTGAGGGGAACAATCTGGTTAGTAAATTTCCACTTTTGCCGCTATTGGGAAATCGGAAGATGTGGTATTTTTGTATTTTTGACAAATGGTTTCAAGACTCACTGAAATTTTTTAGCTAGAAACATTTAAATAAGTTAGAAAACCACAATTCCTAGTTTTTAACTACTGTGCAGATGAGACATTTTGTAAGTGTCAACCTGGTATCATTTGCAACAACAAAATTTTGAGATGATGGAAATGTTTTTCAAACATTAATTTTAATACCCCATAGCACAAATTTCTTTTGAGATGCAGTTCCTTGACTGTTAAATATCACCTTTACCTTGAAGCAATAGATTAAGAATGTTAGTGGTTTATTTAAAAAAAAAACCTGCTAGGGAGCATACTATCAATAACTAAATGGTATCAGAGAAAACATCAGCAAATTTGGTATACTTCACCTTTCACAAAACAAATCTCATACTTTTTTTTTTTTTTAAAGATTTTTATTGGGGAATTGGAGGGATGGGAACAGCACTGGGGAATTGGGGAAGGGGAACAGACAAGTTGCTGTCGTTTTGTTCTTCAGTCTAGTTGTGGAAGACGTTGCCTCACTGGCCCAAGTTGGCACCATCATTGCGCTCTTCCTGGGTGAAGCACATCAGTCGCCGGCTTCTGGACGGCCGCTAACCGCGACTGCTGGCCGCCGGCCACATACAGTAGCCCATGGCAACCCACTGCCACAGGGGCTGCAGCCTATGCCGTTGCCGGCGACTCACGGCAGCCCAACCCCAGGTCGAGCCGTTGCTCAGCATCCCAGCTGTAGAGGGCAGTGTCACTGGCCCTCGTATGTGAGATCCGAACTGGGGCCCTCTGGCGTCCCAAGCCAGTTCTTAACCATCGCGCCACTCGGCCGGCCCGAAATCTCATACTTTATCTTACCCTTTCATTGGAATTCTGCTTCCAGTTTGGGTGGACTAAGTTTTTTCAGAGCTACTTTCTCATTTAAAACAATTTCTCATAGAAAAAATTTTAAAACAATTTTTAAAAGTTGCTTGAAGGTATTAGAGAGCTACTAAAACAGTGAGGAATTGTGGACCAAGACCCAAGACAGAGGTGAGCCCAGCGTTTAGAGCTGCATCCCGCCTCCAGGCCAGTGTCAGTCTAAAAAGTGATGACCAAAAGGCTAAACAAGCTTTCAATAGATTCACAAGACTAGGGGAACAAAAATCAGAGGAGCAGCTCTAGTAAAAACTTCAAGGATTAAACCTAGAAGTAAGGTGAATTAAAAATAAATCCTCTCTCTCAACGATTGAAGCCTAACTTCAAAGCATATCAATCCCTGTTTGAATTATGGTGATCTAAAATTGCTAGCATCCCTAGCCCAGATATCTACCTAAACAAAACCAAATCCTCTTAGAGGAAGACAACAATCCAGAGATTTAGAATACTTCTTCACTGTCAAGATCGCAATAAAAAAATAACCAAGCACACAAGAAAACAACTCAAGAAAAAAAACATGCAATAGACACAAATGCACAAGAGACCCAAATAATGAAGTTATCAGATATAACCTTAAAATATCTATGAATAATATGTTCAAAGTATCAATGATTAATATGTTCAAGTAGTTAAAAGACAAGTCTGAGAATGTTGGTAGAGACTGAACCATGAAGAAATAAAAGGATTGGAAATAAAGACAGGAAATATACATGTTAAAACACTTATAATTAGAAAAGAAAGAAAACTGGGGCAAAAAGAAACATTTGAAGAGATAATGACTGAGAATTTTCCATAACTGGTGATAGACGTTAAGCTACAAATTTAAGTATGTTGACACAGGTAATGAGCAAACCTCTGTGAGATACAAAAGTTTTTAAACAATTTTGTTTGTATAAAATTAACCTCATCAATGACATCTGTGGCTCTCTGTAAATTTTTGGCTTTACTCTTTTTTGGAGCAATCGCTTGCCTATGAATCATGCAGAGATTGACTACCATATATGGTGCAATATTTGTAGCTTCAGGATCCTTTATTTATTTATTCTGGTCAAAGCAGCTACTCCATTTAGTGGAGTATACATGTACACAAACTTTCTATAAATACTGGTGGTTGTTAGCTTTCAAATATCATTTATTATTGAGTAGAAGCATAGGTTTTTGTATATTTCATTATTGAAACACTCCAGGAATTACAATATACTTTAATATACTAGGACCACCTTACTTTTCTTTTTTTTATGCACTATGTTCTTTATTTTATTTATTTACTTATTTATTTATTTTATTAGTTTCAGGTGTACAAAACAATGTAATATTTATACATTTGAACCGCCTTACTTTTTCATCTAACTCAGGTGTCAGCAAACTTTTTCTGTAAAAGGCCTTGAAGGCCACTTATATAGTCTTTGTCGCAACTATTCAACTCTGCCACTGTAGCGTGAAAGTAGCCATAGACAATACATAAATGAGTGAGTGGGGCTGTGATCCAGTAACACTTTATTTACAGAAATAAGCGAAGGGCCAGTTTGATAAATGGGCCATAATTTGCTCATTTCTTGATTTGACTAGATAGCAAACATTCCATTCTACATGTTTTCTTATTTGTATCTTCATATTATCAACAAGAATTTCTGTCTTCCAAAAGTATCTCCTAACAACAGAATGTAATTTATGTCTTTGCCATGTTGATTTCTATGTCATTTTTAACAGCAAGGGTTTCCCAATGACATAAAAAAACCCCCTTCTTATTAATAGTAAATAATCTTCTAAACATTTATTATTGAATTTAGAGAAGCTGTATATGGTGCTGGATAAATTTAAACATTGCTGAAAAAATGTAGAAGTTTGTCTTCACATTTTTGGAGAATCGGTTTTTATTTTCCTAATCATGGTTG